GTTTGCAAGGCATTAATTAACATATGTATTTAGGTTTGGAACCTTCGACAAATTCCTGCGAAATGACCAGGCTTCAGTACTTGGTGGACCCTTTTTACTACGATTTTTTCAGGCCACGTGCGTTTTGGTAGCTATCCTACCATTTTCGGAGGATGAATAAAACTTATTCTTCTAAAACTTAACAGTTTTAATATCCGCCATCTTTTGGAAAATATAATCACTTTTTTCTTTTCCATAGCAGAAGTTTTGATGTGGTACACATTTACCTCTTCAAAGTGTGAAACATCAAATAAAGTTGTAAGAATCGGCGGAAGATAAGATGACATAGAAGCTGCAGCTGATGCTGCTGATTGTAAATTTGATTTAACAGATAACAGTGTCAAAGGCAATAATTTATTCAACGTTTCCTTTCTTGAAAACCTTTGTGCCATAAATATATATAAAATTAATTGTTTAATGGAGCCTCAGAAATACTCTTGAAATCAGATATTCTATATATACATATATACTTTATACATACTATATATATTTGAACAAATGCATGCATGTATTAGATGCTGCACACAAGAAATAATACAACGCTCCTATATTTTTGCTCATTAATTTATCCATGCATTACCATTGCCCATTATTTTCGACTTATTTTTTTTGTACAGCACGCTGCACACAATTATTCATTTAACTCCTGTAATAAAATATTAATTCGTAAATTGACAATTTGAGGTATCTTTGTCGATCAGCCAACATCTGCGCTTTTTTTTAATCTTTTTGCACAAATGATTGTGAACAGCAAGAATATAAAAAATCTTGCTTTGCAGAACTTGCGCAAGTAAAAAGTGCAAGTTTGTTTAATAAAAGCGGGTTATATTGATATTAAATATTTTCTTAATACATGAATGTCAGCAACGTTCACTTTGGCCACCTTACTCTAGCATGACCGATACGACTATATTAATACTAGACCAGTGGAAGTTGTAATTGCGCGCGATTCTGAAAAAAATATTCAAAACTTTACTAACTTAACTAACAAATATTAATTCAAAATTTTTTTCTGAATAAATGTAAAATTGAAATATCCATTAGTTGCGTCCATCGAGGCAATTATTGATAGTATCCAATACGTCATCTCCCTTTCTTCAATAATACCTCATTAGTCTCGGGCGGTCATCAATAATATTTCCATCTTAAAAAATACATTAATATTCTCACATTATTTTACAATTGTAGGTCACATGAAAGCCTAAAAGACCGGTCACATTTAAATGTCAATCAAACATCATTTAATATTCACATTTGACACGTAAGATTGGTTACCTCAGTGATTTATAACCTGCAAGGGAACACGGTGAGGACAGAATGTATGTGTAAATGTCGATGAAGAATGCCGAATATGTGCGCACACGTTGAGCTTTGAAATTTATGAATTATGACTGCATTGTTTCTGAGTAAATTGATGCTGGGCATAAAATATCCGTGGTGATAACGATTTGTCTTTGTCGCTTTATCCGAACATTCACAGTATAAATTAACTTAACGGAAGAAACCATTTAAGTATGTAAAAACATTTTAATTTTTAGATTGAAGCACCTCTCAATAATAAATCAGATTGCAACGTTAATATTTGGCTTTTATTATATTGGATAATATTACTAAAGGGTGTTCCAATAAGAATGACGGTTTTGAATTGCGCGCCATTTGTAGTGTCATGATTTAACATTAACAAAAAAGGCCGTTTTAAGGACGCATTTAGAGACGACGCTTTGGTTCAATATCGTTATAAAACTCATCGATTGCAATAACACTCCTATGAGATTTCAATTTCAATCACTGACTTCTTGAAACTCAAATCACCCTGTAAACCATTTAATCTACTTCTTACCCTTTTTTTACCAGAAGCGTTTGAATAAAATGCTGTGTCGCTGTAACGGTTGTGCCATTTATACTAATGCAGACAGGTTGACCGTTTGTTAAGTGATAAAAATAGCACACATTTTTGAAAATTCCGTGCAGACTTGCAACTTTGAAACTAGACATTGAAAGGCAACACAAATTCTGAAACAACACGATTACAAGGTTATCATTATCTTATGTTGGAATCTACGTAACACTTTCTGGCGAATTCAATGGAGTGAATTGTTCAGTAAATACTTGAAAAATCATCCTGAAGCCAGCAAGAAACAATCAATCAATTGTAAAGGTGTATAATTAATGTCATTTTTTGACGAATACTAATTTCTATCTTATTGGCACATACCGCCTTTCAGCATGCTGTCTGTAAATTGCGTCATTACAATTGTTATGTAAAACGATTTAAGTTTGTTTAAGCATAGTGCATTCTAATCTTATCGAATTAACTTAGAAAGAATGCAAAGAACGTCCGCGACCTCAACATAATTATACTTTTTCAAAACTTTTTTAGAGCACATTGGTTTAAATCCCAGATAAATAGTTAAACTGATCAGAAATTTTAATTGGTCTAATGTACCGCATTAACCTTAAGTAATTAACACACTTAACACGTTTTATATTACACGGATAGTTCGAAGCCAATGCACCTACGCCTATGTTAAGAAGGAATCTTATTTTGTGGGTTAACTTGTTTATTATTTTAACCAAATTATCAGGAGAGCTGATGTGTACTTTAGTCAATTTGACATTATTTGTCCGGATAGAATACTAATTAGCAGCCATTATATAATTTGTATTCATATATTTATTTATTTTGTTATATGGTAGTGGCGAGGTGTATGTACTATTTGCTTTGAAATCTTATATTATTAAAATATCAAGGTGTTGTTTTAACACCTCCAAAGCAGGAGAAAGACAAATCTATGTAGACAATGTTTTTACTATGTAGTAATGAACCCAAATTTAGCTAAAATGATCGCGGGCTATTTAAGTATTTTCTCATTTATTAACGGCTTATTAACCCGCGTGGAATGTTGTTTCCTTTGATGCGAAATTGATATTTATTTTTTCATTTTTGCAGGAATGGCATCTACAATGGGTCAGTCCATGGCCTCCTACTACAGCCCAACAGCAGCGTATGGTTCCCTGAATGCAGCTTCCATGGCCGCCGCCATGTCTGCACAACAGTCAGCAGCAATGTCAGCTGGACTAACGGGACCAAGCCAAGTAAGCTCCTGACATTATTACCAGTCGCAGATACACCTTAGTGTTTTAAATGTTTGTCCCATCCAATATTGTGTTTGCAATGCACATCAGTTTACAATTTACAACGTTTCTTATATACGACTTCCACTAGTCGATCTTCACTTTCGTCTGTCGGCCTATGACTTTCCCTAAAAAATCGTTCCTTCATCTCTTCTTGGATTCCACTATTCCAACTTTCGCTTTACAGTCCTCGAAGATCTGCTATTGAATTTTTGCACTTGGCATTTGTTGTTTGCATCCGGATCTAATTGTACGTAGTACATTATTACCTAAAAACCTCTGCAGATTGTTTTTCGACAAAACGCTCCAAACCGTCAATTTTTATTTGAAAAGTTTGAAGGTTTTTTCAAACCAAATTTAATTATACAGGGTGTCCAAAAATATGTTCCAATCGTCAAGTCAATTGCTTCACTTACCTACTTAAACTTAACAAGAGTCGAAGAATTTACGAGGTAAAAAATGTTTACCAAAATTACAAGATGCATGAAGAGTTTATTGATCGCATCAGATCTTATCAAGCCGCCATTTCGAATTCTGTTTCATTTGATTTTGTTTCTTGAAATTATCAATCCTTTTCAGGCTTATAGAAAGTTGAAAGAAATCGTCACTATTAATAATTATTGATAGGGTCAATCGTAAATTTCTGTGTAACTGTTGAGTTTAAGTAAAGCACATCTGAATCATACTTAGATTCAATGAACAATTCAAAATTGAAATAAAAATTCATTGATTAATCAAGCTGCTGCTATTTGGTACCCATTTGGTATAAAAAATCGCATTTGCAAATGAAAATTTACTGGTCAAAACCTTCGTACAAAAGCCAGTCCACTGAACTTTAAATGCATTTAAAAGTTGCTTCTGAGACTCACTAATCCTGGTGTTCACTATTATTTTCTTGTCTTATTTTGTTTCTGTTCCATGGCATATTGTTTAAAGAACCGCTTGCGCTCCTTCATGAGGGTTTCCATCTTTCTTGCTAGATAATTTCTGAATCAGCTAAACATGTGAACATATTGAAGATCCACTTTAAATTTATTCGGCTCGTTCATTCGGCTAGGAGTCGAATGATATCCTTCGTGTCAGTTTTGCAAATATGATATGAGGACCATACAGTCTTGCATACCACGCCTATCTCTTGTTAGATAAAAAAATCTTGGCTTACAAATAAAACAGGTCTTAGTCGTTAGATCAGTTGCGTTTGTAGGTGTTCTAGTAAAGTATTTGTTGGGGTACGAAAACGGGAGTGTTTTGTCTGTCTTGTTAGGCAAAGGGGATTCAGTATAGTCCAGTTGTGGGGTTTGTTTGTCCATTTTGTCTGTAAGTGTATTAGTCTTTCCCAAATTTTTGTCATGTTTGTGCGTCTTATTCGTGTTATTAGTCTTAGTGCAATTTGTTCTGTTGTTTGTACGCATCGTTTTGTCCTTTCTGTTGGCCATGAGTATATGTCCGAAGTCCAAGAGGGGTCTGCAGATCGTTCTGTATATTTTTGTCGCGGTATTTGTACTAATTCCTTTGTCTTTGTATGTTAGTGATCGAAAGTGTTTTGTTCTTTTTATCGTCTCTATTCTGATGTTTCGTGTGTGTTTAGTGAATTTGAGTTTGTGGTCGGTTGTGATCCCAAGGTACCTTACGTCGTTTTTCGGTGTGTCGTTTGGCCGTCTGCAGTTATTGTAGGGGAGTCAGCGTTGAGTCTGTGGGTCGTTAGAAGTAATATTATACCGAAAGATTCATAATACGTGTAGAAAATTTTACGATACGATCAAAAATAATACAAGTATGGTAAGTGAACCCAAGTCTCAAAATGCCTCGATACGAAAGTACAAGGAGCTTAAGATCCATAGATTTAGTCTGGGAATGAAGCAATTAATGAAGATCATTTGGGACTCCTTTGCTTAGTTTACTTTAAGCAAAATAAATTGTTTACTCATGAGGCAAAATATACTAAATTTGATTCCAAAGTCTCCACTCGTTTGGGATATACCAATTATTTTTTCCATGAAATATTAAACATCCTGGTTTTTCCTGACAAATCATTATCGAACTTTGGCTCATATGCCTTCGGACATTATTTTTGATCACAGAATATGTCAAAAGAGTAGAAAGTTTGTACATCGAATTATGACTCGCTCTGTATATTTAAGTTCTATTTTCCTGACCTATGAAAACTATTTTGATTGCAGAAGCAGAGTGGCAAACCCAAGGAAGGCGCCAGATAATTACCGGTCTTTGTTTATTCGCGGTTGTTTGTTGTGCCATTTTACTTTTTGGAAGTTAAGTGTATGACTACACAGTATTACGTAATTTTCCCTTAGGTTGGAAATTTAATTGTTTTTCGGATATGTTGTGTATCGGCATTTTCCTAATTTTAAATATGTAAACATTTTCAGAACCGACTATTTGGTACGAAGAAATCATCTACCCGGCTAAATAACATTTACATTAAACAATTCTTGGAGCATTTAGTAGCAATTACTTGCAATTTTGTATTTTGCCTTGATTGAAACTCAATGTTTGAAAGTTTGAAGAAATAATTCTTACCACTGTAAAACTAAAACTTCTACAAGTTTCTAAACATTTCGTTTAGTACATTTTAGGTTTGAAATCAGTTAACACTAAACTTCTATGAAACATTGCAAAACTGACCCTTATACGCAAAATAGGTAATCAATATTAAATAATCATTAAGAGAAATAGTATTTTATTTTCTGAAACTTTCTATTGACCGATAAACGAAAGCACCTAGAGAGACATCACTTGTACTAGTGCGGAAAGTGTTCATTCTCTAAACAACATTTTTAAATGTTTACAACAAAGTGGCTTATATACTTATAATAATAAAATTTTGTTTTTAACTTATCGGTAACGTTTTATTGACAAAAATGAAAGTTTACATAAAAGAGCGGGTTTCAGCAGCAAGTCTCCTCTTATGGACGAATGTTAATATATTGCTTAAAAAAGGCTAGTAGTACAAATTAGTAGATTTTCTCTTACTATTGTTGTGTACATCCTCAGAAATGCAAAACTCGTTTTGAAACACGAGTATTTACTTCTACTCATTTCAAGTAATCCACCACATGCGTCCACATACACCCGTATAACTGAATTGTCTTAATAAAACCAGTTACAGTTTTAGTATTTGGTCAGCAATGATATGCCGATTACTACCTCATGGTACTGACCACTTCATTATGAATAATGCATCCATTCCAAAAACCTTTTAATAATACCATACTTAATGGATACCTTCACACCTGGCCGTTCTTAATTCCGTTTTCCTTAATGACTGGTCATGGCTAGTCACCGTCGTGATGCGGCATTTTTTAAGAAATAAAAACTGAAGGCAGCTTGTGCCAATTCTCACAGTCGATTAGGCACAGTAAAGATTGCAAAACACCACCCTCGTAGTGAACGCGTTTTTCGGTAAATCCCCGGTTGTTTTCCGTAAAAAAAAGGGCTAAGGGACATCAATTTTAGTGGCAGTCAGGCTGAAAACCGACGGAAGGACAGGGTTGAATTTGCTCAGTCATCTCACGAAATTGCTTTAAAACTAGGGATCATGATAATAGGATCTTTTGATAGTGTCTGAGAGTTTGAATCTTCACGATGTCTTTAATATTCATGGTGACATTTAAATGGCATGGTGAGTCGCTGGAAATAGACAGCTCACAATACCATTAGTAGACCATCAAACAGCCTGATGCTAGTAAACGTTGCTGTTTAATGAATTTGTTATTACGGCTTTATTCTGAAATTATATTCCTATTAAATGATTGGCAAACCACGTTTGGAACTGCATAAAGTATGTTTAAGTGACCATTTAAAATATGAATATGAAGAAATATACGGCACTCGACTAGGAGCTACTTTTTATAATGAGTTTCATTATTGGTTAGTGGTTCTAACTAAGACGGCGTTAACGATTTGAAATACCTACATTTTGTTGATTTATTTCTGCATCATCAGAGCCGAACCATCCAAGACACGAAAAACCCCATTTAATGTTCTAGCCATCTGTGCATAAAATCAGCTCTCGAACTTTAATTAGTAAACCTAACTTGAAACATGAATTGTAAAACGTCCACGCTTGATATATAATAATAATCATTCGGACTTACGTTTAAAATAGGTTTCTTCAAATTACAAAATGTATGATCATCTTTATTATTATTATTATTAAAGGTATAAGTAATTAATAATTAATAATTATTAAAGGTAAAAGTTTACCTCTCATTGCTTTACAACCGGTTAGTTTTGATCCTAGCTTTTCGGTCGTGATCCCAAATTATTTCTTTCTGATGTTTCGCAAGCACGAGTGACTTTACATCCTCAGAGGTGTTTCGCTCAAAAGCTTATCAACGCTCAGTCCAATTCGATTTATTAGATTGTTGTCAGTTTTAAGTATTACAGTAGTGTATAAGTAAAAAATTGCAGCACGAAAAAACCTCAAGAAGGAATGCGATTTGCTATGCTGAGACCAGTTTCCGTAAATCCGTTATTATTCTGTATTATCTTTTACTTCGTGTTTGTAACTTCCGCCAAATTTTAGTGTCATATATATTAATTATGTGCATTAATTTATAGATATATTTCTTTTATAGATATATTATTACTTAAGAGAGCAAGTTAAACAAAAATGTTTTTACCAGTGATACTTGTTAGAGAAGTTTGTAATTCCAAGCTAAACTTTTCATGAAGCAACAAAAACAACAGCACACAACGTTAACTCAGATTTAGGATTGTGCCACCAATTTTTTGCTAATTCATTACAATATTTGCAATAGTCTTTCCCGAAAGAAAACGGGCATTAGAGTATTTGCATAGTTTTATTATTCACATGAAGTACTAATTTGCCCAACGCAAGATTTAGATTAGATTGTTAAAAAAATTATGGTTTCAAAAGTTTTAATGGCCTTACTCTTCTAACTATTTATATGAAAAAGTTCATCCAACTCGGGATTCAA